CGGCGCACGAAAGTGCATGGTTAATGGTTGTTCAAACTGAACTGAAACTGGCTGCGTATTTAATACCGACGTTTTGGATACCACATAGTGCATTCTGCGGTACTTCGTCTATTACGAAATTGGATAGGAATGGCGAAATAGAGTACTCTTGATGAACACCACCGCCGGTAACGCACGATGTTCTTAGTTCGTTATAGACCCTCAGTCGACCAGAAGTATGTGAGTACAATGACCTCAGCAAGTCAGCGTACTTCTGGGACATTCCTTTTCGAAGAAGGAAACCCATTATAGCTTCGCGGTCAACTCAGTCGAAGTCTCCCTCTAATTCGAGAAACTGCAATCGTTCGACGGTAGATGTGATGCAGCTCAAGAACCTGACGCTACAAATTACTTATCCAAAGCCGTACCAATCTTCAATACCATTTGGTATATCAGTTACGTGAACATGGTTGAGAATAACAAAAGACAACCACTTAGTGCTCAACAAGGTTTCCCGACTTAATTGGTATCGGTATTTTGTCAGTCGTAAAACAACTATGTATGTATGTATGTATGTATGTATGTATGTATGTATGTATGTATGTATGTATGTATGTATGTATGTATGTATGTATGTATGTATGTATGTATGTATGTATGTATGTATGTATGTATGTATGAATGAATGAATGAATGAATGTATTACATATTCCTGCATTTGTTTTGCATAACCAGTAACCTGGGGCTGATTTTGTTTTCCTTCTTGTTATTATTCATTTGGTCCACCGATGCAGTCATACCACCTTCCTACGCCATTTCGTTAACAACTCTGTATGGTTCTAAACATAGTGTCCACCAGTGCCTTCACCGTTCTTAAACCCACGTCAGTTCCGTTTTCCATTAGTTTCTCCACACCTTTTTGCGAAAATTAAGAAAAATTAATGTTTTTACAAAATGCAGCCTTTTATTCACTCTCCTACCAATAACAAAATAAGGCCATCATTGTAATCAAAACACAGATAATGGGTTCGTTCTCAAACCATTGAAATCACATTTATGTAAGAAACCGGGAGGGTGATGTGTCGGGTCAAATAATAATAACAAAGGGCTGCGGTAGGTATAAGTTTATCTTTAGTTCTCTTGTTCAGAACAGCGCGTGTAAGAACAACGCGTTATGCAAGCGTCAGTAATTCATTTGTGTCGTCACAACGCTCATGCATGAATTAATATCTACTTTGGGTTAGGAAAGTTTGAATGCCTGAACAAGTGTTTTTGTGCACACAGTTCTGGCTTTAAGAAGCGGATGACAATTACCTCAGCTGTTGCTAGCGTTTTATTTTGAACAGCCTTAGATTTGTATTTTGAGGTTTGGTAACTGATGGTGGATGCCGAATTAATGTCCAGCATACACACATCTTGACCAAATGTTCAACAGTCTAGCGGGAGATAATCCCGTTATCTTCGTGTCTAAGCCGCACCGGTTGATCCTTGATGCGTTGAGATAGCTTCTGTCGGGTATCATACCCCGTCGATTGTCTGCCACACGTGAATGGTGTACGCGTGAGAACTAGGCTGGTTTCAGACCTCGTCGAGGTTGTATCGACCACATCTTCACACTTCGTCAAATTCTAGAACATAGGCACTCCTTTCGTAGACCCACCATGTCTATCTTCCTCGATCTGGAGGCGGCTTCCGACTCAGTCGACCGCTCTAAACTCTGGCGCTGCCTCGCTCTAAAGAGTGTGTCCGAGAAGTTTATTTCGATATTACAATCGCTCTATACTCATAGCCGAAGCCGAGTTCGAACTTACGGCACTTTTTCACTCGAGTTCACCACGGAAAGTGGTGTTCGACAGGGTTGTCCTCTGTCTCCATTTTAATTTAACTTTATCATAGATTTAATTCTTGAAACAGCCCTATCCTCGTGCAGGGATAGCGGTATCGATTTACTTCCGGGTGGCAGTCTGTCT